AAAAACATATTCATGTTCTGACCTGGAAAAGGATCATTAATATCACAAGAAAGATCCCTATAACCATAGCACCACTGTAGTAGAAAACCAAAGACTGGCTAAGCCAATAAGCCAGACTCATCAACACAATTCCAGAAACTAGGAATAATATCCTGTACAAAAAGAATTCTGCAAAAAGCTACATACGATAACGTAACAATATATGCAAAGGACAGGAGAAAAAGAAATTTGAAAAAAAAAAAGTACAATATGGTAGGTGAAGCATTAACAAAAAACTGTCATGCAGAACAAACCTTCATCAAAAGACACCTCAAGACCCTCTGAATAAGATGTTCCCACTCTTATGTCTAAGATTTTGTGATCAAAAGGAGACATCGGTTTCATCCACAATCCTTTTGAGAGCCTTTCCCATTGATCTTGAGGGCACATCCCTACACCAAGAGATGCATTCCTGAACAGTAAACCTATTAGCTATCAATATGTAACTTAAGGGTACACTCGGTATAGTAGTATGAAAAGGTAATAAAAGTATTGATTATTGTTTTGGTGGTTCGTAAGTAATAAGGAATCACAAACATTGCCACTGCAAAAGATCTAGCTTATGACATGTAAAAGGTATAACAAGGTCCACCAATCAAACCCCTCAGATTGGGGTACATGGACCATTCTATTAGCATATCAAAACCAAAACCCTACATCAAAAGTCAAAACCAAAATACTACAACCAAAACCTTTAATAGACCAACCTTCTCTATCAAACCATACGGGGCCCTCTCCGGAACCCCCTTACCAAGCACCCCCTAAACCAGTGAATGTTTTCAAACAAATCTACGCATAAGCACATAAGAAGAACAATAATAATAACAACAGCATCAGAGAACAAATCAACATTACCAATAAAATGATATAATTTAGTCAATCAAAGTACTGCTTAAATATTTTTTTCAATATGTGTTATTTTTATGTAATTCGTAATAAGAGATGAGGAAACCACTCTATAATGAGATGAAGATATGTATCCAATACAAACAATAATAGCATTTAAGTGAAAGGAAAATAAAGTTCATTTGATTACAATGGATAATTCAGAATGGAGATATACCCTCAATCAACTTTTACGAGATCTTAGCATATGTTTGATGGGGAGATTCAATGCTCTAATGATCACATAAAGTGTAGAATTAAAATCAAATCAACAGAGAATGAATCAGGAGCGAGCAATAAACTTTTGCGGATAGCGTACTAGCATGCATAGCAAATTTATCAAAGAACTTGCTACAATAAGGTTTCAAGTAGAAATGGACAGAAAACTCAAAATTGAGGTAAGACAATGTGAAAAATGTACCAAGCAATCACAAATACTATGAAAGGATTCACACGTAAGGTCAAACGTTAAAAAACAATAACAAATTGCATACTAGGTCATATGAAGCATGAAATTTACTAATTTAGTTAGGGAATATCAACTAACCTGTGGAAACAGACATCTATACGTGGAGAAATGGCACTTGGATTCGTACATGACACTTTCACCTTCAAGGAATTGGCAAACTTTCTCAAATGCTTAATCCTTGGTAAACCATGAACTAGAACTCTCTCACATTTTACTTTAGCTCCAGGCTTCAAACCTGGAGAATTCTCTACTATTAAGCTCGGCGAGATATGCAACTTCATGGTCTCTGTAACTGCAAAAGAAAAGAATTCAGCATAAAGATTTTATTGATTCATGCAATAAATAATAACTCTCTTAATCTTTATCAATTATAATGAACTATGAACATAACTATATAAGGCGTATGCTTCCAAGTCTGCATTCGGTCAATTCAGCTTCATTCAAGGATATTCAGTTTTCCCTTTTAATGTAGCTGACAGAATGATTCGTTCACGTGGCAGAAGTTATAAACCCGAAACTATCAATTTAAAGACATATGCAAACTGGTGATTACATTAAGATTATTCATTCACTTATTATCAGCTTCATGTAGCATATCAAGGTCCTGGGCTTAGCTTCACGTACTGTACTCATTCTCAATCGTAAAAAGACAAAAGAATCCAAATGCTGCGGAATTAATCCCTGCTAAACAGACACAACAAAGTTCGAAATACATAATCCCATAAATCGGACTTGTTACTAAAATTGATACCAAACCCCCCAAACTCGAAAGCACCACACAACAAAACTGCATCGCGTAAATTAGCACAATATCATGCGGGTCCAGTTACCTGGACGCCTGTAAAATGTCTACAGTTCAGGCATAGCAATTTTTGTTCGAAGTTGTGAATTTGACGTTTTTAACTCTTGAAATGGAATAATAAGAACCCTAAAGATCAAGAAAGCTTTTACCTAAGGATAAGTTAGAAGCAGCATCGATGGAGAGTATCAGCGAAGAAGACAAGAGTAAAAACCATAGGACGAGAGCTGCAGCTGCTGTAGCTGTAGATGACATTCTTCGTGGGATTAAAGCCATTGCCACCAGCAGAGAGAACAGCTAAAATTTTTTAAAAGTGTCGAGTGGGATACTTGTGTTTTTTTTCTTTTATATATATATATATATAAAAAAAAAAGGATAATGCTACAAGGACAATTTAATTAAAAATATCATTAACTCAAATCTCAACTTTACATTTATTTGCATCTCAATNTAGAGGTGTGGACTGGACTCGGAGTCCAGACATGTCAGGTCCAGTTTAAATTTGTTTATTCAGGCCCAATTAGCAGATGTTCGAAGTTAATTTCCGGTTCCCAATTTTTTTGGCTCATAAATTGCTCCACCACTTTCTTGTCGAGATCGCCAAAAGGACGAATACAAGAGAATCAATCACAGACGATTCCTTTAAACTCCTCCCCAAATTTCTCCTTGCCTTGAGAGTCTTTTTATTGATTGCCACAAGTCTACACCATCCCCATTTTTCCCGGCTTAGCTTGAATAAATCGCATTTCTCCGCATATTGCCGTCGACGACGTGCTCCTCGCGTTTCAGGTATTCCTTTAATCGATAATTTCTGTTTACTAAATTCATCGCCGGAAAAATTTTGTGGTTCAATTGAAAATATTAATTTGCTGATGGATATTTTGATCTTTTTGGTACTTTTTGTGTCTAATGGTTCGCGTGTGTAGACAAGATAATGGGGAAGAAAAGGAATCAATGGAATCGTGGGGCTTCTATATCATCATCCGAGTTGAACGATGATCGGACGGTGTTGCTGTCACCAACGGGGGAAGGAAAAGGAAAAAGATTGTGGAAGAAGGTGAAGTACCAGCTGGTGGAGTACAACTCGTTGCCTGCGTATTTGAAGGATAACGAGTACATTCTTGCTCACTATAGGTCTGAATGGCCTTTGAAGCAGATCTTGCTTAGCGTTTTCACCATTCACAATGAGACGCTCAATGTTTGGACGTACGGATTTCCATCCCTGCTTTATGTGTGTTTGATGTTTCTTCCCATCCTTGATAGAGTTGTATTTTATTTCTCATTTTATTGCATGGTGATTTTGGTAATTTTATATGACATTCATGAACAGTATCTTTTATTATTCTTGATGAGGATTTCATTGTATTTATTTAATTATTAAGCTTCAATTGTTTTTGCCTATGATTATGACGAAATTCTAGTTTCGAACTTGATGGAATAGCATAATCAATATATGCATAGATGTTTATATGAAAAGGAAGGAAATGTAATGGTTCCAAGCTGAATTTCTAAATTCACTGCCTTCGAAAGCTTTGCAGATGCCATGCCTCCAATATCCGGCAAACACCTGAGTGTCCTTATGTGGTATTTCCAATATTTGTAGACTTAACAGCACTATATGATCTTTGGGACTTTGGTTAGAGTCTGGTGTAGTTAGATGAAATATTGCTGGGATAGAGCTGGAGTTTCATAGTTCAATAAAAAAGCCTAATTTTCTGATATGTTTAGGCTTTAAAATTTTGTTCTGGCTCTATTTCACATCTCTGAGGCTCATTCATCTGTACTATAAGCTCCCAGAGTTCCATCCATATAGCTTTGTGCTGAGTGAATTATTGATATTATTATCTTGTAATCCCCTGCACCAAAAGTCATGACGAGTCACAGCAGATGGTTCCATGGACTTTAACTATATAATATATAGTGACCATGTATGAAACCATTTCATCTTTTCCTTTTCTTTGTTCGTATGATGTTGAGAAGTAAACAGTGATGGACGATCACATAGATTCAAATGATTGAATAAAGTTGCCCAAGGTTCACACTTATACGGCCTTTTCTTATAGTATATGAAATAGTTGGGAGTTCTTATCTGTAGTATGCTGAGTCCATGTTGGAGTATCTTTGGAAGTGTGTACCTGAAATTTGATTGCTGCAGATTTATTGCCGATACTTTGGTGGTTATGATGTCAAATTATTCTCTCAACGTGGTTAGATATTTTTTCAAGTTTCACGACACTGATCCACATTTTTTTTTCCTCCGCAGGCATTTGATAGGGTTCTTTCTTTTCCTCTCTTTAACCATTTACACCGCCATGAAAGTTCCGAATGTCGTGAACCTTCCTAGACTTCAAAACTTCCCTAATGTTCTTAGAAAATCCGATTTTCAGAAGTTGCACACAGATCTCGTTACATGCCTCCCATCCTTGCCTCACATGCCCGATATGCACAAGCTACAAGAGGAGTTAAGGACTTCATTCAATTCAGTTGAATTACTGCCATCCTTGTCTAGTTGGCACATCAAGCAACTCTTGTCGAACTGTTTGCCAGGGAGACTTTTCCACAGCAACCACACTGACCCTTGTGTTCTGGTACTTTTGCTCTATCCTTTTGCATCTTTTGCATTTATAGTTGAATATAGGCAAAATTGCCCTTACTTTTTCAAAATAGCAATTTAATTATGACCTTTTTACTTTTGCAAATTATATCATAATCTTCAGTTTGTTGCAAATTGGTGCCACCGATTTGCATATCCCTTGCAAACTATATCACAATCTTCAGTTTGTTGTTCGACCACATCAGCCTGCTGAATATATTATGTTTATTCCAAATTCCGAAGCTTCATTCAATCAAATTCCTAACACGAACCCCACTTTCATCATCAAATCCCTTTGCCAGCGTAGCATGAAGGAGGACATGGCGAACATAATTGCACCTCTGCTCTTGAGGCCAATCACGCGTTCGCCTTTCTTCGCTTTTCTCGGTGGGGCAATGTTCTGCCTGCTGGCAAGCAGCACTTGCCACCTTCTCTCATGCCACTCGGAACGCCTATCTTACATCATGCTGAGGCTCGATTACGCAGGCATAGCCGCACTCATATCCACCTCCTTCTACCCACCCGTCTACTACTCCTTCATGTGCTACCCATTCTTCTGCAACCTCTACCTAGGCTTCATCACCCTCTTAGGAATCGGGACAATACTTGCATCTCTCCTCCCGGTTTTTCAAAGCCCGGAGTACCGAAACTTTCGGGCCGGGCTTTTCTTCGGTATGGGGGTCTCGGGGGCACTCCCCATCTTGCACAAGCTCGTATTGTTCTGGAACCATCCGGAAGCTCTCCACACGACTGGTTACGAGGTGTTAATGGGGGTTTTGTATGGAGTTGGGGCGCTGGTGTATGCCATGAGGGTGCCCGAGAAGTGGATGCCGGGGAAGTTTGATATTGCGGGGCATAGCCATCAGCTGTTTCATGTGCTGGTGGTGGCAGGGGCTTACACGCATTACCGGGCCGGGCTGGTTTATCTGAGGTGGAGGGNAAAATAAACTGAGACTGAAAGAAATATACAGTATTATAATGGTGGACGGCGTCTTGTGTTCTGATATGAGGAGTACCTGTGCACTTACATGCATATATGCCGTAATTTATATCGTAATTTATATCGTAATTTTTTGCGGTGCTCGAATCCAATGTTTGAAATATTATCGAGCCGTAATTTTTTGCGGTGCTCGATCAAAAATTTAAAATGTTTATCAAGAAAAAAATTAAAAAAGTGTTGGAAACAAAAAATTTTAAAATGTTTATCAAGTAGACGTTCAAAAAGCGTTAAAATTTTGATTTATGCTCTCGTTGAGAGTCGAACTCAAGACCTCCCGCTTACTAAACGGGTGCTCTAACCAACTGAGCTACGAGAGCCTAGTTATTGATGAGGTGCCTACGTGATTTATATATTACACGTCCTGAAATTTTCAATCACAAGATTTTCAACCCAAATATGTTCATAATTTCACACCAACTTTTGACGCTTGATTGGATGATAATTGACATTGCTGTTGTGGAAATTGAATTAGTTTTACATCATATATATATTCGAGCTACAACCCAACATAATCAATCACAAGATTTACAACCCAAATATATTCATAGTTTCACACAAACTTTTGACGCTTGATTTTATGGTAATTGACATCTCGTGAGGAAGAGACTTCTCTAGTCTCCTATCTCAGCCTTGATTTGCGTCTGGCGCATCTTGGCAGGTACCTTAATTTATTGCTCATAATTCTAATAAAAAATGCTTTTGGAATAATAATAATAATAATAATAATAAAAAGAATTGTTGTTGTAGCCGTTATTTATAAGAGAATTGTTGTTGTAATAATAGACTTATTAGTGTTATAATATTTTTGAAGTAGTTTTTTATTATTAGTACTCGATCATGTGCACATGCACAAATATAAGAATGTTATAAGTTACATGTATGAATAAAATATTAAAATTATAAGTTAGATAATTTTATCACATTTTGAAAATTTGATCATTAGAAACACTAAACCGCATAAACAATTTAACCATATATAAATCACTCTATTGATTGCGTAAAAATATAATAAAAATACAATCTTTATAACATTGAAGGATCATGACTAATAACCAATTAACTAGCTGATAAAATATCAAAAAATTTGTTATAGCAATTGTTGTTGTCTGAAATTAACAACTCAAAGTAACAAACAACAGGGTATGTTTAAGCAAAAATAAAATGTAAAATTGTGTATTATTGATAATTTCACGAGAGTACAGGAAGTCGGTTTTTTTGTTCTTGACGGAGATCATTTCAAGTTCGTGTACAATGTGCGGAAAAAGATCCCCGTACAATCATAAATTCTACTATTTATAGTACGGTCGATTTTGTCTTTTTGTCCGAGGTAGATTGAATCGCATTGAATGTTAAGTTGCTTCGTTAAAGCGGCGTGTATGATGATGAGGGAACATCAATGATTGTTCTCTGACTTGATGGTCCAGTTAAAATTGTACAAGGTCTGCTGCTTGGAAATTCGATCTTCTTGAATGGATAACTTCTAATATAAGATATTCTTGGGCTGGAGAAGTCGGTTCCGGAGTCTGGTGAAGTCGGTTCTCTTAAGTCATCCGAAAGTCGGTAGCCTTTTAAATATACCGACTTTGGATAAGTTCAGCTATTGCCCAATACTTTTGAGAAGAAATTTAATAGAATAAGTTTAAACATCCTTCAATTAATCAAAAATCAAGTCGATTGCCAAAAAAATCGAGTCGGTCATCAACAACAATTTTTATGCAATTTTTAAGGGGTTTGTTTATATCATTAAAACAAGCTAACTTATTTTATTAGATAATCACTTAATGAGAAGCGAAAAAAAAAAATATAATACATAACCTAAAAAAAATACAGTATAATATTTTATACGTGTGTAACTTCCATATACCAATTAGCATTAAATATAATAAGTTGGTTTTAATAGTAACTATTATATGATAAAATAGTTAAAAAAATATAATTATTACTTAATTAATGTAAAATGTAAAAAATTATTACCATAATTAACATTAAAAAAAGCATATTTACTTTTTTTTCGTCAACGATAAATATATTTAGTAAATTAAAATAATTACAGATTAGACAATATTAATACTATTTAAAAACTTTTTGACGAGACTTCCCGACCCGTTGGACCTCGTGATGGCAAAATTCATTTGGAGCAGTAAAAAATTAAAAAAGGAGAATCACAGGATTCTCTCTTCTATCCTTCCCAAAACTCGCAGGCAAAATTAAAACACGAACCATTGTATTTGTCGGTTGCTGTAACCCAACGTGTCTATCTATCCCTTCGACACACAGAAAAGAAAAGCCCCAATCTCCGGTACTGACTTTCTCTCTCTACCATCATAAAACCACTCAATCAGCGGCGGTGTTAATTAATTCCGTGCCACCTTATTCTCGCTCTCAATTTTTATCTTTTCCAAAGCTGTTATGTAAGCTGTTTTGGTGGCTTCCTTCAGTTTTCTCGCTTATCCTTCCGAATTCCCCCAGACGGCCAAGCGGTTTCGCTACCCGACGAAATTACAGTGACGAAACTTGGTGGAATTAATTTCCGGGTCGGGTTTTCCATTTCCCCTCCCTCCTGATTTAAGGATGGTGTCCTCGGACTTGTCGCCCTACAACCTAAATTCTCAAATGGCTAAACACAACGGCCGGAACAGAGCAGCGTCTTTTATCTCCGACGGGTTTCTCTTCGCCGTCGGAGCCCTCGTGGCCCTTGTGCTCATCTGGACCATGTGGTCCTTCTTCGGCTCCAACCCGAACCCGACCTCCAATTTCTCCACATCTTCCTTCCCCGACCGGGCGTCCACCATGCCGCAGGGGCCGGAATCCTCCACCGCCGCAAGAGCCGGAGCCCCTGGCTGCTCCGGAGCGCCGAACCTCCGGGTCGACCCGCCCGACCCGAACTTCTACGACGATCCGAAGCTGACGTACACCATCGACTCCCCACCCGTCAAAAACTGGGACGAGAAGCGGCGGGAGTGGCTCCGACAACACCCATCCTTCGCCGCCGGCGCCGAGAGCCGGATCTTCATGGTGACGGGCTCTCAGCCGACGCCGTGCAGGAACCCGATCGGCGACTACCTCCTCCTGAAGCTGTTCAAGAACAAAGTGGACTACTGCCGGCGCCACAACATCGACATCTTCTACAACAACGCCCTCCTCCAGCCCAAGATGTTCTCCTTCTGGGCCAAAACCCCCGCCGTCCGCGCCGCAATGCTGGCCCACCCGGAAGCCGAGTGGATCTGGTGGGTCGACTCGGACGCCGCCTTCACGGACATGGACTTCGTCCTCCCGCTCCACCGGTACAAGTCCCACAACCTCGTCATCCACGGCTGGCCCAACATGATCGAAAAACAGAGCTGGACCAGCATCAACGCCGGCGTCTTTCTCATCCGCAACTGCCAGTGGGCCATGGACTTCATGGACGTCTGGGCCGGGATGGGCCCACAGTCCCCGGATTACGACAAGTGGGGTAAAACCCTGAGCGCAACCTTCAAGGACAAGATATTCCCGGAGTCTGACGATCAGTCGGGCCTGGTGTACTTAATCCTGAACGAGAAGGAGAAGTGGGGGAACAAAATCTACGTGGAGGGAGAATACTATTTCGAAGGGTACTGGATGGAGATTGTGGGCACGCTGGAGAACATCACAGAGAAGTACAAAGGAGTGGAGAGAGAAGAGCCTCGGCTGAGGAGGCGGAGGGCGGAGAAGGTGAGTGAGGCGTATGGTAAGGCGTGGGAAGAGAGGCTGAAGGTGAAGGGGGCCGGAGAAGGGGGGAGGGGGAGCTGGAAGAGACCCTTCATAACTCACTTCACGGGATGCCAGCCGTGCAGTGGGGACCACAATCAGATGTACTCGGGACAGACGTGCTTTGACGCGATGCAGAGGGCGCTGACCTTTGCGGATAATCAGGTGCTCCGCAGCTACGGGTTTGCGCACCCGGACATGCTTGATCCGGCAACGGTCACTCCTCTGCCCTTTGATTATCCTGCTTGAGAAATTTGTCTTGATTATAAGTGGGGTTATGTAGATTCTCCTCTTTTTTTTTTTTGGTGGTTGTAGTGTAGCAGTGAAGTAGTATATATATATATATTATATAAGTTGGTTTTGTTGTGTCGATGGGCCTTTGATAATTATGCTTGAGTTTTGTGAATTGGTGGCATGGCATCTCTCTATACCAAGGTGATTGTTTTTATACGAACAGAACCATGTATTATTAGCTGTCAAGATAGTGGTGGTATTGTTTGGTAGAAAAGGCTTGATGAAATTTTTTTTGAATGTCTTGGTTGTTTGTTGATTAAGCCTCAGTTTGGGGGAAATGGTTAGAGGTTCTGGGGAAGTTTTGAGTTTGAGTTTGAGGGTGGTGTTGCTACTTTGAGTTGAGGTTTCAGAATGGATGGTATATGCATTCTGCTGCAAACTTCTATAATCAATTTGGTTCATATCAGTTACAAATACGTACTATGGCAGTATATCTGGTACTTTAGCTCAGTTTTTGGGAGATATTTCTGTTCAGCTGTACTCAGATGCAAGTTACTTGTGTGAAGGCAGTGAGCCGCTTAGTTCAGTTGCTACTAAAATATCACTTACAAATTTGGTGATTTTTTTTTTTCCCCCTAATTTCAGTAGTTTTCAGCATCTACATGAAGTGGTTATCTAGTCAGCTAGGCAACTTTTGACAGAAATTTTTCTTCATCAAGTCACTTCAGTCTAAGATCGACTAGCAGCTAAACACAATACTGAGAGTTAGTGCATGGTTCGAACTAAGTGGTTGGTTTATGGAAAACGGTCTCTTCTTACAAATGGCATACGTAGCTGGAAAGAACCTGTGAAATTGGTAGTTGAGGTAAGTAGATGGTCAGAACTCAGAACACACATGAAAGTTAATAATAACAAGGGCAAGTTAGGAACAATTCATTTAATGTACTTAAATAAATGAGACATGGAGCCAGCCACTGGATCTTA